CTCACCAATTTTCCATTGACCAGTTGCCCAGACCTTAAATGAAAACCGTGCATCAATATGAGCTATAGCCTGAACTCCTTAAAGGGGCTTATATAAGGGATTATATAGGGGACTACCCAAGGGGTTTTCAAGGGGGATACTAGGAGTTTAGACTACAGCTCACATGTGTTTCTTGTGTTGTGACGTTGCTGAGTGTATACAGGGTCCCCTGCAAAGATTGGCAGGTGTATATAGGGTTCCTTGGGAAAGTGGGTAAGATTTTCAGACCCATCTGGGGGAAGCATGAATTCAGATTTCAAATCCTAACTCATGAGCTCTGACTCCCCTGAACTCCATTAGCTCAGGATTAAACTTTGAAAGCTCTTTAGCCAAGGCAGCAGCTGGCAGGAATCGGGATCTTGGGGGGATTGATGCTAGCCAGCAGTCTGATATCATATCTGATGACACCAGAATAACTTCAATAGTAGTCTTACGGTTGAAGTCAGAAACAGGCGTGACCCTAAGTACCCTGTACGTTGAGAGTTATGGCGTTCTAGCATACTCAGGTCCCGCGCTGCCTTAGGGTTGTTCACCCAACTGCAATTGCATTCACAATCCAAGTATAAGCCATCTAAGTCCCCAAATGTGATTATAAGTGGGGTATAAGTACCAGTTACAATTGAGATGTTATCGCCCTGAACCTCCCAGTAGCGCTTGCGCCCTCGCCGTCACCGGCAGAGCTTTGTAGTGGCAATACATACTATTGGATAAACCCTTAGACCCCTACCCCAAACCCTGAACCTCCGTAAAATCCCTTGAACAGTTTAACTCCATGTAACCGCCCCTTCCCTACCCTAAACCCCTAAATCCCTAGACCCTAAACCCCCTACACCCTAGGAGCTCCTGGCCCTGGAGCAGATCTCCATGGCCCGGGCAGAGTACGTGGAAGCGATTTGAAGGCCACACGGCCTGGGCTCCCTGGCTTAGGGTTTATGGTTTAGGGGTTTAGGGTTTTAGGGCTTGGGGTGTAGGGCTCAGGGTGTAGGGGTTTGGGGTTTAGGGTCCACAGCCTGAGCTCCCAGCCAAGGATAAGCTATTAAGGAGGGTTTATGGGTTCAGGGGGTTTAGGGGTTTAGGGACATTTTGGGTAGATCGTTACCCCAAACCCTTCAAGCTTGAACTCTAAGCTTTAGGAGCTCTAGGAACTCTACAGTGGGCTTTGGTGTTTGAAGCGGTTGAGGGGTCTTTTTGTTACCTTGAAAATGCCTAAGACCAAAGCGGGTTTTGTTGTTTAGGGGGGCTCGGGGTTCAGAAGTTGGGGTTGTCCTCAAGTTTATTGGATTGGGCTTGTCTTTTTTTTTTTTGGGGGGGGTTGCGTAGGGATACATACATGGGTAGCTTACGGGGACCCCTCTTTGGACTTTTATAGGGAGTGTAGCGCAGGAAGGTAGAGAATTTTTTGACGGCCATAATTTCCATGAGCCAGTGCAAGAATGAAGCAATATCAGCGGACATCTCTAAATTTTGAAATCGGACTGCAGCTGAAGATCACTTGCGTGGCTTTTGGTTCAGTAAAGGGCTTTCTACTCATACCACAAGCCGTGTGCTGTTGTGGCTGCTCCTCGCAGGTCGCACCGGCGAGACTGCTGAGGCCGCCATGGCCACCTGAGAAGGCACGGCGCGGTGTGCTAAGAGGTTTGGAGTGAGTTTGGTCAGGGACAAGCGGTTGGAAAGAAGTACGGCTGTTCCAAAAGCTGATGCCACTTGCAGTTTGAGTTTCAGAGTTTGGCCCTACACAGCAAGACTTTGTGAAAAATCTTCCGACCCCCAACCCTAGTCCCGAAGCACGACTCCAGGCTTCGTCTGTATCCTGATGCAGAGTTGCTTGCGGAAGCAGGGCTTCCCGTACGGTCGGTTTTTCAGAGCTTGAGGCCACTTGATAGTGGGGCGCCACAAGCGGGATCTGACCATGCTAGGCTTTCCGAGCTTCCCAAATGGCAGATTTCCTCATAGTGGTCTCACACGAGTCCTTGTATCTAGGCTCCTACTGTCTTGCGGGACTCAGCAGAGTTTCCGCAATTCATGCAATTCCGCTAAGCCTTAAGCCCTGACCATCTCTTAGAACGACAGGCAACGGCCAGCTCAGAGATATTTGACAGTACTGCCTTTTAGACAGGGCATCAGGTTCCTGCTATGTGCCATCTGGAGCCCAGCAGGGTGAAGCTATCCCTCTTCAAAGACCCAAATCTCAAACCTTAAAGCTTTACTGCAAAAAGCGTCCTTGGGTCCCAGGCCCCTGTGCTGCTCCGACTCTGCGCAGTTTCACCCAGCAGGTGTGCCTAACTTCTCTTGGAAGGATCGGGAAAGATTGGCATCTGAGCATATGCGGAGACCTAAAACTGCCAAAGTTTGTGCTTTTGGAACTTGATTGGGGATGTCAGAAGCATGATGTTGACCGATGCATATCGAAACGTGAGCGCTGATCTTCATGTTGGAAGTGTTCGAGAAATTTTCGTGATGTAGATAGCCATGTCCCAGAAGCCTTATACTGTTGAGTCATATAGTCATATAGTTCTCAAAGAAAGCCCAACTTCAGGTTCTGTGCTCGTGTGGGGGAGTATAACGTGTAAGAGTTGAGAAGCCAGTGGCCTACATCCTATATCTTGGTCCCCACTGTCTAGCTCCTCCCTGAAGGACCAGGCCTTAAACCTATAGGTTTTAGAGTATAAGGTACAGGGTGTTGGGCTTCGGGTTTAGGGTAGGGCCAAGTGCCATGTGCAGTCCGATTTTCCGATCCCCTGAGGGTTTGTTGAGGCTCCAGGTAGAATTCGTGTCCGTGCCCTCGGCACTTGCCGCGGACTTGAGGTTGCTGCGCAGTCAAAAAAGTGGCGGGTGTAAGTGTAGGGTCTTTGCAGAGTTTGGGTACACCCTCCCCATTCGGGGGATTCATGGACTGCCCTAAAAGGGGCCTGAATATTATGATTCTCAGATGAATTTCCCCTTGACAGGGGAGCCTTATGCAGGATCCTTCCGTTTGTAGGGTTTTGGCGGCCTCGAACTTAGGAAGACTTCCGGAAGGATGAGTCAGGGGTCCATTCCTGGGTGTCCTTGCCATACGGATTATGGGGTTCGATATTTTGGGACCCTATGTATAGAAGCTGCATACACCTATACGGACATTACAGGCTGGCCGAGTTTCAGTGTCGTGTGTTTGGGGCGGTGTGGCACTAGGAGTCCTGATATGAGCCTAAGAAGATGTAGGGATTGCAATCTATCAGTGGAGGATCTTTACGAGGTTCCCTAAACCACGGCCCCAACGAAACACTATGAAGCAGCGACCTTGATGCCTTGGATCGTTTTTAAGGGAGAACTAAAGCCTCCCACCTCTACATCGCGGGATAGTGATAACCAACTTAGCAGAGGAAAATGTGGACTCCATATATATGAAGACATATAAAGATGACGTCGGGACTGCAAGAGAGCCATACGCATGCAAAAGGAATATCGTAGGGAGACTCGGCAGCGTGATTTGGAGGTACACAGTGCATAGCTTGAGCTATTGAAAGGTTGCAGGCAAGTTTGAGGGTCGACAGACTAGCTGTGAGGATGAAGGAGTTCGGCTCCAGGGTCGGAAGTAGTTAAGCTCTGTCTAGCACATGTGAGGAATGACTGCAGCTTGAAGCAGGATCTAGGAATATCTAAGAGGGTATAGGATTGTGGCAGTGAAAGTGCAGGCAGTGATTCTGCAGGGCTGACGTAGTGGACGTGTCGAGTGGCCGCAAACAGCGTCCTAAAAACAGGCTCGCGCCGATACACCGGCCGCGCCCCGGGCCCCTAACGGCGCGCACTCGCAGCGATACACCGATACACCGGTACCGCGCTTGGGGACCCGAACGGCGCACGCTCCCACTGATACACCAATACACTGGTACCGCGCCCGGGCCTCGAACGGCGCACACTCGAACCGATACGCCGGTACACCGGTACCGCGCCCCTGGCCCCGACCGGCGCACGCTCGCACCGATGCACCAATGCACCGGTACCGCGCCCCTGGCCCCGACCGGCGCACACTCGCACCGATACACCGGTACACCGGTACCGCGCCCCAGGCCCCGACCGCGGCGCGCTCGCACTTGCACCGATACACCGATACAACGGCACCGCGCGCGGCGCCCCAAACAGCGCACGCTCACACCGGTACACCAATACACCGATACCGTGCCCCGGGCCACAAGCGGCGCATGCTCGCACCGATGCACTGATACACCGGTACCGCGCCCTGGGCCCCGACTGGCGCACGTTCGCACCGATACACCGGTGTTGCGCCCCGAACCCTGAACGGCGCACATTCGCACCGATACACCGGTGCCGTGCCCCTGGCCCCGAACGGCGCACGCCCGCACCGATNNGTACCGCGCCCCGGGCCCCGAACGCGCAATACACCGGTACCGCACCCAAGGCCCCGAACGCGCAATACACTGGTACCGCACCCAGGGCCCCGAACGGCGCACGCGCGCATCGATACACTGATACAGCGGTATACCGTACCCCGGCCCTGAGCGGCACACGTTCGCACCGATACGACGATACACCGGAACCGCGGGCGCCGGGCTCCGAACGGTGCACGTCCACACCGCCACACCGTTACACCGGTACTGCGCCCCGGGCCCCGAATGGCGAACGTTCGCACCGATACAAACCATGTCGAGAGAGCGGGCGTTTGGGTCCCGAAATGAAAAGC